TTTGTCTAAAGCAGTAATAAAGTCATCTCATATGAAGTCTTAGATATAAAATCTTGATAATTGTTGCATCCTAGAAAATTCATGATGGTAGAGTGATATATAGTTTAGTGCCCTAGTCTTGTATGAAGATGTAGCACATAGACAAATAAAAGAGTAGGGTATAGCATTCACATAAGACATCAAGATTTTTACATGAAAAATCCTGAAAATAGAGAAAAACCACGCGGCCTGACCCAGTTGAAATAATTTCATTGGTATTGGTTGTTGATTATAAATGACGCCCTTCCTCGAAGGAGGGCTTACTATATAAAATTCATTGTTGAAGAAGGGCATGATAACTACTCTTAAGAGAGTATTGATCTGTTTGTTTGATCAATAGAATCGTAATCATCGATATCATAATTAGTATGGGATCATGTAAAACAAATATGATACTCGCCCCCACAAACTTCAACCCCCACAACCCTTCAAAACTTCGTTAGTTGCAAGAAGATTTTTTGTTTTAACTCTAAAGGATCCACTAAGACCTTCGTGCCAATAGTGTATTTTCGACTCAATCACCAAGCATACTCAATGCAAACCATCGTGCAATTTTTTTTAAAATAGTAAACAAATAGTGGTCAATTTTTTTTAAAGAAAAAGTTGTATAAAATAGCTTTCTAGAGCAATATTGTTTATACGTAATGAAAAAATAGTGGTTAAATATAAATTATGGTCGCAGTCTGAAAAATAAAGTAGTAAGAAAGTTGTTTCAAATGAAGTCTTAGGGTTTGTTTGGGACTGTTGCATCATTTTATAAAGTTGGATATGAAGTTGCTGAAGAAAAAAATAATTTTGCTATTATGGCTGTTGAAATTAGGTTTCTACCACAACAATATATGAAACATAATAAGAAAACAACAAAAAAGTAATTTCCAAATAAAATTGTGATTATTGCCCAAAAAGCAAAATAGTCATAAAGCTATCCCAAATAGATCCTTAGTTTATTATTTTTCTTCCGTCATCAAAATATATTCATCTAAACTTACAAAAACTGTTCAATAAAATCAATCATTCACTAAGTGTAAAACATTGAGATATTCATTCTTATTTGTGTATTGTTATATCATTTCTCTGCAATGCTGTAGCCATTAGATTATATTCGGTTGAATTTATTCAAATTGCTAATTATCTTTAGGCTACTTTTATTTTTATAGTTGAAAATATATTTTAAAAAATAGTTTTTTTTTTCTATTATCATATCATTAAAAAGGCATTTAATTAATGAACTATTTAACTATTAAACTATTTTAAAAATAGAAAATGACTCATAATAAGTCACTAAATAAAATGGCTGACTATGATATAGGCTTCTGAAGGGCATATGAATATTCATTTATTATGTTATAATGCTATATGTATAAAAGACATTTATAGTGATGCTTGAAAATAATATACGCTCTTAAAAGATCTATCATTATGCTCCATATATTTTATTTTGTTCTATAGTACTGATGAAATATGGGCATTTGTGTAATTTCGTCTTATATAACAACGGCTTAGCAACTTGAAAGTTTTACTTTTCGAACAATATATACTATTTTAGCAACAACAACTAAAAAAAAGAGAGCATATTTTGACACTAATTTATTGGCAATTGCAGCAGTCCCAAGCAAGCCCTAATACCATTAAGGGTTCGTTTGGGACGGCTTTTTTATTGCTTTTTAAAATGGAGTTTTAGTTCAAATTTTTTTATTTTTGTTCTCAAACTCCGTTTTAGAAAACAATGAAAAAGCCGTCCCAAACGAAGCCTAAATTTCTTAAAAATTTGGCCAAAACTTCAAAATTTAGTTAAAATTGAAAAATACTAATGAATTGTAAACCAATTTCTACCAAAATAAAAGAGAAACTACTGTCCTTCCAACGGCTTTAATTTTTAGAGCGGATAAAGCTAGTAGCAAGTGTTCAAAGAAGTGTAGGTGACGGAAGTTTTTAGTGGGTCGTAGGTGAGGCGGAGTCCAAGTAGCAGTTCGACAACAATGAGATAGGAGAAATAATATACATGAGAAAAAAAATGATTGGGACTGCGTGAATTTGATCAAGACCGGATGTGGGCAGCAAAAATTTAGGGGAGGCAAATTTGAAAAATTACTCTTCCTTATGATTAAAACTCAATTTTGATGCCCAACCTCGCTTCAATGACCATGCATTATTGAAATTGAATAAAACTTAGGAATCAAAAAGTGTAATTTAAGAGTCCCAATTGTTTTTTTTTTTTAATTTTTTTTATAACAAGAAATTTTATTCCATATAAAGGAAAATACAGCCATCCAACGAAATAGGAAAAAACAACATCTATAGAAAAAATACACAGTGGAGCAATTGAACATAAAAGAAAAGGGGAATCATCTAAGCGGGCTCAGATAGTGGTGAAACACTGTGACCACCCAAACAAAAGACAAGGGCCCTCCAAAGGGCAAGCAACAGGCCAACAAAACCAAATCCTGCACGAAGACCAACAAGAAGCCGCTAGTAATGGATGCCAACAAGCCACGCGATCAAATAGCACAGCCTCATCATTGCCCTATTAAAAATCTCGGGCACACCAAACAATCTAACGAAAAACAGGTGCAAATACAAATACAAAGAGCCAGACAACCAATTAATCACAACATCCAAACCGAGGAAACTCCAAAAAACTTATTTGGATTTCTTGCGATGACGATTTCCTCCAACCAAGGTAAAATCATTTTCCATGAGAGGATTTACTTGCACCTTATACAATTCCTGAACACCCCTAGAAGAGTCAACAAAAACCACCCAATCCCCATCCAGACTGGGGGAGAAACATTCAACCAATCTGGGTGGTCCACATAGCCATCTCTAGACTTGCTTAAATGAACTTGTAAAACAACATTGGAAATTAGAGACACTGACCCATCAATACATTGAGCAAATGTAAGAATCCCAACAGGTGTAATTGACTCATTAACAAGAGAAACAGCTGTTGACCAACCCAAATCAGTGGAACCATCATCTACGACCAGATTAATACCACATTGGCCTTCAGCAATATCTACCAAAATTTCATAGAGTCCCGATTGATTTTTACTTCATTTAAGATAAATTTCTTACAGCTTTTTAAAATAATTTTACAGCACAAAAATATTTTGAACTTGAAATTTTTGTACCAAAAAATTATTTTAGAAAATAGTAAGAAAGTTACCTTAAATGAAGTAAAAATCAATTTAGGAGCAATTTAGTAACTCAAACTTGAGCCTACTCACCAATTAGCTTGGCTAAGGCTTCATTTGGGGAAGTTTTTTTAACTATTTTTTTAGTAATTTTTAATACTGAAATTTCTTAAAATGATTAATAAATAGCGATAAAAAACTATTCTAAAGGAAGTCTAATGCTTCGTTTGAGATAACTTTCTTACTGCTTTCTAAAACATCTTTCAAGTATTAAAATTTTAATATTGAAAAACTGTTTTAAAAAACAATAGAAATATATCCCAAAGAAGGCTATAAGTGATAACTCTACCCAAGAGACTGCCTCGCCTTCGAACCTCATTTGATCTTTTCTATGAAGCCAACCTTCATGTCGGGACACCTTCTAATACTAATGCCATTTTTTTTATGTACCAAATGTATGAAGAAATTATTACGTGCGGTCACTGAATCGTCCGAAAGTTAATTATGATGCACCACATCACCCGACACATAGCTGTACACGATATATTATTGATGTGGCGGGTCCTGATTGACCGCCGTTCTGTGAACAGACGGCATCCCAATGTATGATTTTGACTTCGATGCCGACTTTAGAGA